CCCCCCCCCCCCCCCCCCCCCCCCCCCCCCCCCCCCCCCGGTCTCTCTCTCTCTCTCTCTGTGTGTGGCGTTCAGATAATCAGTCCAGTCCAGGACGTGATCATTGTTTTTACAATGCTCCAGCTTCTAGAGATTTTACTGTCATGTATCGAATCGAACGGTCGGATCCTTTGCACGGTCAGCAGTGTAGCAGGTGCCCCTGGACTTCGTCTGCTACATCTGTCCTCTTATGCGATGTGCATGCCCGGCCTTAATTGCTTGAGGGGGGGGGGGGGCATCTTTAATGATTTAATCCTCCGTATCTCCGTCTATCTCCGATAATCACGGAGGATGTCGCGAAGGACAGATCTCCTCTTGCACGTGGGGAAACTCCCGTTTTGACTCTGTTTTTATCTCGGTTGCAGTTCATTGTTTTTCCAACTGGCAGCTCATTTTTACCTCCTACTTTCTTTTTCGACTGTGTGCTCTCTCTCTCTCTCTCTCTCTCTCTCTCTCTCTCTCTCTCTCTGGGGATTGCTATTTTCAAAGCCTTGCCTCTCTGTTTTCCTTGCCTCGGCTGTTGCATGCTATGGGCCTCGCTGCACTACTGTCGAAATGTGCAAAACGAGAGTGAATCTTCCGCTAGAATATGGAAAGATACACGGCCGTGCTTTTTGTTTGTTGCGCATGTCGAGAGTAGTGCAGCGAGGCCCGATGGCTCTCCTTTTGTCTGACAGATAATCTTCGATTACCAGGCGGTTATCTCATGGCCGCTCTTTCCAGATCTTTCCTTGATCACTCCCCTCTCTCCTCTTCCATGCGATTGCTCGCCGGCCTCGCCTACTGTGTGGACACGATTGGGATTGGGGGAGATCGGAAGTAGCGCGCTTCTTGGGTAGAAGGCTCTAATAAGCTTTGCGAAGCAACTTGTGACTCCGCATTCGGATTCGTCTTACTGCAATTGCGGTTTTGACGACGATGACTTCCACATTTGTTGCTCCTCGAGTCCTCGTACGAGTGCAAGTTGAAGTTGGTGGTGTCATTGCGGTTGTAACGATGTCACTGATGTGATTCCACTTGTGGTCTGATTTCACTTGTTTGCTCGACTGAGTTAATACGTCAATCTTCCGTGAAAAGTGTGTTGTGTCATTTTCTACTTCTCTGTCTCTGACAGATCAACTCTGATACTCTCTCTCTCTCTCTCTCTCTCTCTCTCTCTCTCTCTCTCTCTCTCTCTCTCTCTCTCTCTCTCTCTCTCTCT